CTCATTTGGTTGTTGAAGACGTTCCTGAGCCTCTAGCTCTAGCTGCTCGGTGCGGGCTTGCAGGCGTGTCAGCTTGTGTTGGAGTTGGGAGGCGTGTCTGTCACTCAATTTGAGGGTGGCTATGAGTGTGTGACTCAAAGTACCAGTGATTTTGGCCAGCTCCTTGTGGTTGAAGCTTTGACTTGGGTCTTGCTTCATGATGCTGTCTATGTTCTCATCCAGTTGGTTTTGCGTCAGGGGCTGCAGTGTTTCGGCAGCTTTAGGGAGGAGACTGCCTGTTACAACGCTCAGCCAGCATTCCAGGTCCTTCCAGAGGCCAACTGGATCTTTGAAGTGAGCCATCTTTTGCGGCAGGGGGGAGGACTTAGAATTTAACTGACACAGACCTTGAAGAGAGATAGAGAGGAGAAAGAAAAAACAAGGTAGAACAATGCAAACAGAAAAGGAGAAATGTTAATGTGCAATGTTAAGTGTGTTCTAATGTTGAGTGATGTGTGGTTCTCTGGAACTGTGGCCCTCTGGTGGGTACGCGTGTCTAACTGGTAGTCTCTGTGGAAAGAGTCAGTAGCACAGACACAGTGAGAGAACAAAGAAAAACAAAAGTGATAGGGAGACCAAGGAGTAGGGTGAAAATCTGTAGTTTCCACTTTCCTAGAGAGAGGGTTCCTTTAGCTTTTGTTAAATATAAAAATAAGATTTCTAAATACCAGGACTGAAGTTGCTATTAACTTTCTTCTGAAGTGACAGAAAGTAGGACAACAATAACAGTATTGGCTTCTGAATAGGATTGACTCCGTACACCAAATAAATTGTTTCTGGATGCGTGTTTAGAATTGGATCTAACGACGCCTATCTTCTTGGTGACCTGATGAGTGAGAAAGGAGGGGTGAGATCAGAAAATTTTAACAATTAAAAGTGTTCAAGTGTCCCAAACATCTATTAAATGTTTCTAAAATTCTCTGCTTTTTTGACTCTCACAAGCACAATCCTTAAACCAGCATTAATAGTCCAGTAAAAAGAAGATAGTTAGTTGAAAGAGATAACAAAGGAGTTAGTTTTCTCTTAGCATTAGGTGTAATTAAGGATGTCAAAACAATGGCACTGTTGAGTTGATACTCAAAAAGGGTTGGTTTTATTGTGTTATATAGTAACCACTTAGCCTACGTATTAGAAAAATCTGAATTTTCCTTTTGAAGTTTGGCTAATTGGAGGGCTCCACTAGATGAAAAGACTAAATTCAAATTTTAATTGAACTTAACTTTAAACCTGTAAAGAAGTAATAGCTTTTATAAATTATCATTAAGATTGATAAGAACACTTATGACTAAATTTAATTATTAATTATTGCTAAAATGATAAAGCCATGCATAAATGAACCATTAATGAAATTAAAATTTCAAAACAATGAAGTTGGTTAGAGTAACATTTAATGCAGTTTATCATTAAATTAAACAATTATAATTTATTTAATCAGTGAGTCTTATCCGTATAAATCAACAATTATAGGAAATGGGTGTTCCTAGATGTTGATGAATGGAAAAAGTATTTATACTTGAATAGGTCAGAGAGCATTAATTTATAGTCATGAAAACAAAACTATAATTCATCACTAATAAAACCAACTGCATATGTGAGTTCAAACTGATTAAATTCAACAGGCCAGGTACAGCAGGAAAAACAAAAATAAAATAAAATAGTAGTGATTAAACTCAGCAGTTAGATTGTGCACACTTTATTAACTTTGCATTTGTCAACTTTTCCAAGGTGAGTAAAGAGAAACAACTGAGATGCAAGAGTTATTTCAAGCATCAGCCATGCAATGCATTTAAAGACCACTAAATGCTACGTGCTATCTATTAGCCTTCGCTGCTACTGGAAATGCATAAACTTTAATGCAAACGCGTTAGCGTTAGTTTAGCTTAGCTTCACGCTATGCTCTTTGTTTACAATTCAAGCTGGCGCTGGCGGACTGCACATGCGCACTTGAATGTAATTCCGGCAAGTCTCTCTGTAACTTCCGGACCAAGGTTGCTGCTATGGCAACGACCACAAAGTGGAATAATAGCAAATTTCACAGTATCACTTGAGATGGCGGCGCATCTCACACTGTTCAAGCAAAAAGCACTAGTTAGATTTTATATCTTAACAGTACTGAACGATCTCAACTCATGAAAGTGAGATAAATTAATCAACAGGATTTCTGAGATTAATACAAATCGTGACAGAGATATGGGGGATCTCAGCACTCTGTGTTAAGTCTGTGTAGACTGCAAACACATCCGTGGAATCAAACCACAATTTCAATTGATCAATTTCAAAACTTCTCCTATAAACTACGCTAGGCAGCTTTCTCTGAGCACCGCGTTTTAAATAATTCACTAAGTCTTAGCAAATTACAGGGCAACAAGAATTTAGTTAGCTATGCTAAATCAGTTACCAGGAGAAAACACAGTTGAGTTTCCAGCCGGGAATCGCGGCGTACGAAATCAAACTGTGAAGGCCTTATATAACGTTATGAGATAAGCACAAAGGAATACGCTTTGTCTTTCTCTACATGCGCTTTAGAGCGGCTTACAGTGTGTCTCGGCGGACAACTTAAATGACGTTTTACTTTCTTAACAACACTAAATGCAGTCAAGCAATAAAACAAATGGTACCACAATGAAATTGTGCAGTAGCAAAACTTCTGTTCTTTCTGATCTATTCTTTCCGGACAAAAATAGAAAAGATTAACAACATGATTTCTGGGTTTTGTGCTTTAAAAGTTAGATCTGCTTGCCCGAATTATTCTCCACCACTATGTAAGAATCAGCTCTTTGGTTTAAATCATGTTTAAACTTTGGGGATTCGAATCAAAGATTCGAACATGATTCACATAGAATTATTTAAAGCTTACACTTAACTTAAGTATTTGTCCAGCAAATAGAACGTTTAGTGTAAAGCAATCCTGTATTATATTATTACGTGGCCAACAATAACAATATAAAAACAGTATCTAATTATTTAATAAGCAAGGTAGCAGTATCTGAAGCTGAGGCATTAACTTATAAAGCACACAACACACCAACACGGATCTTAAAACGAAACAAAAGTTTATTGCTACTCTATAACACAAAGTACTAATCTACGTAAAACAAACAAATGCACATACATACACACACGCACAAGCAGTTTGAGGAGAGTTTTGACTGAGTGGATTTAACTTCTAGCCTTTGCTAAGTTCTTAGCATTGCAACCTGAGAGAAACCATAAAAGCAGAGAATTTTGCTATTCTTTACTACTTAAACATAATTCACACCAGAGTCAGCAATGGATAGAAACCTTGTTTGTGCTACTTGCGTTCTGATGGAATATTGGTTTCCTCGACTGGTCCAAAGGGAAATCCCGGCGAAGCTGATTGGTCAGCGTAGCAACTTCAGTGACGTGATGGAATTCCCTTGTCGGTGAAGAGGGGTTTCCTTAGTCGGTTGCTAGGGATACAGATGTTGGACAAGGCGGCGTTCGAAGTCCTTCCTGGGTTCCTGTAGTTAGGATGAGTTTCAGAGTTCTGAGATGTGTTGACCCGATGGCTTGTTGTTGATGCGGTTGCACAAGCAGATCGGGGGTCGAGCCGGCAGCAAGTGAAGGTCGCGGTCTGCTCCGTGATGTAACGAGGCTTCCGGCGAGGCGATGTAACGGCCACAGCACGAGAAGAGCGATGTCCGGGCAGCGACGGCGGTGACGACTGGCAAAGATGACCGGCAAAAGACGACGATGAAATTTCTTTGTTCAAAGTTTTATAGGCTTTGGTAGAGGCTGGGTCTACACAATACTTGTCCAATCAGATAAGGTGCGGGGTGGAGTCACACCCCAATTCTGCCCTCTAGAAGGCCGGGTTGACAAATTGTGTCGTGCTGCTTTGATAGCATAGTTGTTAAAATAAAGTCTCATAACGTCAACACTTTTCATAGTATGGTTTCTTCATATAAACCAATGCATTTGAAACTTTCCTAGCTTTCAATCAATACCAAACATGAAGTATGTCATAAACATTCTGTAGATTTCATTTGTCACTGAGGGCTATTACTCAAGAACTATCTATAACAGTTTTGTTAAACACATGGAACATGTACACACAAAAACCTACAGAAACATAAAGCAAACATACATTACTCAAATAAACTGTTTTACTTAAATGTCCATTAAACTTTGGAAGCGTTTCTGATCGCTTCTGTGTCTGCCTGAGAATGTGTATTCCTTGCAGACGCCAAAGGGCACGCGAACCAAAAGGTACTTCTCAAAAACCGGTTTGGTGGGTTTTTGATTGTAGAGCCTCTTATTGTTTTAAGGTGTAGAGTTAATTAACACGCAACTGTGATGTTGACTGGATAGTCGTCCTGTGGATTTGCCTTTTGCTGGGTGCCTGTGGATTGCTTTGAAAATGAAATCAAACTCAGACTCGTAGGCACCAACCAATCTTTTAAGGATAACATGGTCTGTGGCTTGTTCGGTTCTGGAACGATCCGTTGACTCCCCACATAGGTATAATGATGGTTTGTTCTGTAAACTATCGAAAAAATATATAGCTTATAGGGGCTAATAATATTGACCCTGAAATGTTTTTTTAACAAATTAAAAACTGCTTTTATTTTAGCCGAAATAAAACAAATAAGACTTTCTCCAGAATAAAAAAAATATTATCAGACATACTGTGAAAATTTCCTTGCTCTGTTACACATCATTTGGGAAATAAAAAATAAAAATAAAAAAATCAAAGGGGGCGAATAATTCTGACTTCAACTGTAAATAGCGGCAAAACAAAATATCGCAATGTCAGATTTTTCTAATCCTCTTCAAGAAAAGCCACATTCAAAAACTTTAATATAAAAAATTTATATTATTAATATTCTTATATAAAACATTTCTTTGATTGCTTGTAGATGTAAGCACATGTTCTGATTAATATGCTGTCTGTAAAATTTTTACAGAATGTGACCCGATGTCTTGTTTTAATTGAACAGGTTGCAATATCCACATTGCTTTTGGGTTTGACGTAACGAGACGAACAAACACACAATCTCTGTTGAGCCCTCAGGCGGAAGCATCAGTTACTGCAGCTATCCGCCGAATCTCCTTGATGGGAGATCTGTGCTGCAGCAATAGAACAAATATCACTACTAAATTTGCCTATCGGCTAGTTTCTGGTCGAGATGCGTGCAAACTGGATTATTGTAACTTTGAGACGTACACAGAGGATGTGGTCAAGAAAGTGATGGCACTGCGGCCCACCGAGCCCCTTGCCTTTAACCAGTTTCTATTAGACTCCTTCAGAGAAATGTTTGGCACTTCTAAAGCCGAGGCGAAGGTGGGATTTTTCTGTTGTTTATTGCTTTTAAAATTTTGAACGAATAGTTCAAATTAAGGCTGCACAATATTTAGCAATTATTATTATTTTTATTTTAATATATTAATTTTATTGTTTTATTTTTAAGACAAATATTTTTTCAACACATTTCTAAACATAATAGTTTCAATAACTCATTTCTAATAACTGATTTCTTTTATCTTTGCCATGATGACAGTAAATAATATTTTACTGGATATTTTTTAAGATACTAGTATTCAGCTTAACGTGAAATTTAAGGGTTAATTATTCAAGTTAATGTAATTAGGCAAGTCATTCTATTATGATGGTTTGTTCTATAGACAAAAAAAAAAAAATATATATATATATATATACATATATATATATATATATATATATATATATATAGCTTAAGGGGGCTAATAATTTTGAATAATTGTTCTTAATTTATAGAGCAAATAAAAATATGCATTGTTATTTTACATCTTATTAAAAAGCAAGATAAAGAACTCCTTATCTTTCTGTTGAATTTCTGTATCTATATTTTATATTTAGCAAGATACATACCTCTAAAAAATCATTGTAAAATATTTATCTTAATCGAGATATTCAAGTCATCTGATTAAATTGTTTTATATTGCAATATCTACATTGCAGAAAAAACAAATATTGCACTATAATTTCCCCCTCAATATACTGTATTGCAGCACTATGTATAACTAAAGTCAAGTTGAAATTTCGTCCGCAGGAACATTACTATGAACAAAATGAGTTTTACAGAAGCAAACACAAAATCAGATTTAGCTTCTTTTGCAGTCACATGGATTTATATTGGACACCTAGATTACATTATAAGGTTTCTTACATGCACTGTATGTCTTTTAGATTTTGATAGTCTTCTCAGATGGCTTGGATGACAGCATTGCACGTTTAATGGCCGGCTCAGAGAAACTTAAGCAAAGTGGTAAGTGACTTCTTTGGTCTGTCTACATTTATAGATCAAATCTGACATCTGAAATCATCTTATTGCAAGTTTTAAATGTAGTAAAAGGGCCCTGAAATGATGCTAAGAGGCAAAAAAAAAAAGTTAAATGTTGATAGATATGTGGTGTTAAGGTATACTTAATAATATATTGATGATATAAATGCATTAAAATGTGTAACTATACAATGATAAATAACATAATTTTATTTATTAACTTGTAATTATGTAATTGTAATATTATAAATGTATTTATAATTAAAACAAATTGATCACATTTATGTACATCTCACACCATTAACTAAGACTTTTAGCTCAATAAACTACTAATTAGCCGCTTATTAATAGTTATTAGGGTAGTAGTTGGGTTTAGCTATTGGGTAGGATTAGTGAAGTAAGATAAGATAATACTTTATAAGTCCTAATAAACAAGTAATAAGTCAGTATTAAATAGTGGTATTTGTTACTAGCTCTAAAGTGTTACCAAAATATTTGTTTAATACTTTAAATATAGGGTTTTGGATGAAGAAACAATACATGACTTTAAATTTTCTACCAGAAACCAGAATCTCTACTGTTGTAAGTTTCTAGTCTCTGTATGGTAGAAAAATGTAAAATAAAAAACAGTGGTGTAGTTTACCACTTTCAAAGATAACACCAGGTGAAAATAGCACTTAGAAATCTGGAGTTGCTTATAGGTTTTGTTAGATTTTGGATAATATATTCTAATAGTGATCTTCTTTTTTTTTTGTGGCATGTGTTGTTTTTTTCACTCTGAAATTTAAGTCTGAATGACCTAAAATGTGTTTCATTTCAAAGCCACGTTTGCTTATGTCTGATTTGTAAACCAGGGGTCAGCGCTCTCCTCATTGTGTCTTTGGAGGGAATAATGGACGTTCACCAGCTGGAGTTTGGCAGAGGTTTTGGTTACATGGAGCCACTGACCGTCAACATGCTGAATTTAGGCGACGCTCTTATGAAACAGGTTGTAAGTATCAAAGAAGTGTTTAAGAGCGCTAATCAATCTGCAAAGTAGCTACTATCCTGGAAAAGTCATGAAATTTTGACATGGCATTTTCTAGGCCTGGAAAAGTTTTGGAAAAACAGAAGAAAAAAAAAACTAAGTTTTGGAAAAGTCATGGAAAACCGATATCTGTATACTTGAATATAGGTTATTCTTTTCTGTGCTTGGCCAGTCAGATATTATCACATTATTTGTGCGGTCTATGCAGGGGCCGCAACTACACATTTACTGAGGGGTATGCGGGTTCAAGTTTTTAAAGAATTACATCTCATTCCAACCCAAATTTCTTCTCAATTTCATTTTCCTCACTAAATGATTAAAGCACATTGCCTTGCTTCTGTACTTTTTGTACATTTGTGAAATTAAAATGATAGATATGGGAAAGCGCAAAAGAACAAAAAAATGCAGTCACTTCTCATATGCGAGGAGTAAGGTCTGTCTCTCATATGCGAGGAGTAAGGTCTGTCTTTGCATGAACAATTGACCGAAACTGCTATTACACCTCTCACAAAGTGAAATAAAAAAGACTGAAATGTTTAGTGTAAAAAATAGAGACAAACTTCCTAAAATGTTCTATTTTATTAAAACATTTTTTTATAACTCAAATTAAAATAGTTTTGAGCAAAATAAGTTACCAAAAGGCCTGATGTATCGATATGACAGATAATACATTTATAAAAACTTGTATATGTTATAAAAATGGATCTTGATAGAAGGTTTAATAAACATTTCAGTTAGTTTATTTAGTATTCTGACTATTTGTTCATGTGTCAGTTTTAACAGCGTTAAGAATCATTACAATCAATTAAACAAAATTCATATAGGGGAATTTTTAATCCAAATATTATTTTCTGTTTTCTCTTAAATATATCGAGGTTTGTACTTGTATAAACGAGCATTTTGTGTGATCCCTCTTGTTTTGGCGAAATAATTATTAATTAATTAATTAATGATAAATAAAGAACATTTTCAAATTATTTTATAATGTTTTACCTCAACTGTACTCTATGTATGATTTGACAGTTTATTTTGATAAAAATTGTCAAAATCTAAACGGTTACATCTACATGTACACTTTACACTTGGCTGTGTAACTGCATGTTATCGTGTAAATGATTTTGAATTAAACATGTGCCAAAGTAAGCAACCCATGGTATATTTTTTTATTTATTAAAATACAATATTATACTTGTATAAAATGCAAAATATTTTTTTTAACAAAACATATTTATTTGGACTCTTGAAAGGGACTAAGTCGAAAATAAAATTTAATGAAAGTTTTAAATGAAATGACTTCACAATCATTTAATTTTTAGATCATGCTTATTTTATTACAGCATGACAATTTAAAATATTAAAACATTAAATTCATGCAAATTAACGCTAACTTGACAGACCTTTTATGAATATAAACATCATCACATCACAAGGATTATCCAAACAGCGTTTTTAGCCTGTCTCTCAGGCTCTCTCTGGTAGAGAGTTGCGCCATGCGGTCATTCTCTCACAACTGACGTTTAAATATCCCCATTTGAGAGCATTTATTCAACAAAGGATCTTTTATTTAACTATTTGTGAGAACATAATATTCATTTCATAAAGACTGTAATACTGAGTGATGCATAAATTAAATATTAATGCATATTGTCGTTGATCTAAATGTCTTCCCTCCCAGACGACACCTTAAGCTTGCCCACTGTCTACTTTCAAGCGCATTAGGTGGACGTAGCAAACTTACTGAATTTTCTCAGAAACATAGAAGTAGGAAGGTCTCTGTTGTGCTTGGGGTTGAAAGAGTGAGAAATAAAGATTACACGGATATATAGCTTGCCTCTGACCCGTAAGTATTTATTCAGAGATTGGCGTTAAAAGGTAATCTGTATGGAACATCGTTGCGTACGGAGTATCGTTAGTCTACGTTAATCAGGTAAATTGGTTAAATAATGATGTGATTTGCAACAGGTGATTGTATATATGATTTGGTGCAAAAGCAGCATCCAAGAGAGGTCTAGTCCTTTAGGAGCAAAGATAGGCAGAGGATCCCCAGTTTGCCAACAAATACATGAGAAATGTATTGAAATGTATAAAAGGTGCATAACACCATTAAAAAATTCAAGGAATCTGGAGGAGTTTCAGTGTGTAAATGTTCCATTAGATTTCAGTTTGTCATGCCAACTGTCTAGAAAGTAATTTCTATGGTAAAATACTCCTCATTTTAAATGAATGCATAGGCTGGAAGTTCAGCAGCAAAAGATGAATAGTTTCACTCGTTGTGTGTATTTCTCTCCACTCAGGAAACAGTGGCGCTGCAGAAGTGTTGCGAAGTGCCTTGCGAATGCTCTGGAGCGCCTGGACCACGAGGACCCCCTGGACGCCCGGGTCAAAAGGTCAGAGCAATGTAATACTTGATATAATATTGTGGATTTTCATTATTTCTGTTGCCTGGTTCATCTTGAATGATTTTTTGTCACAGAACTTTTATATCACTGAACAGTTTATATCTTTGTGACGGATTAAAACAGTCCATCTTAGATGATGGCATTTGCGTCATTACCTTGCCTATGTAAGGAGCTCACTAGCTTTTCTGTGTTTAGGGCTCTCCTGGTCAAAAAGGTCATCCTGGATTTCCTGGAGATGAAGGAAGTATGGTGAGTGAAACTAATTACCAGTAGATATACAGTGCTCAGCATAATTAAGTGCAACCCATTTTGAAAATGAATATTTGTATCCATTTCTCAGTGAATATAGGCAATGTATTATGGTGCATTTAAACAAAACAGATTTATTAAACAGATATATTTATTAAAATATTTTAGTCACCAAACATATTTTGAAATTGAAAGATTAAATTAACAAAATATTGCAAAAAAAGAAAGAAAATTACAAGCTACAAAATTTCAACTAAATTTTTAAACTTTTTTGCTTCTCTTGATTTTTCCTCTTTTTAAATTTGTATTTAATATTTTTCTATAACGTATAAATTTGGGTGCTAGTTTTTGGATCGTTATTGTGAGTTATTTTGTTAGATAAGCTCCCGATTTTGCTTCAGTACTGACTGATCTAATGTATATGCATAAATATAATATTGAAAAGCTTCCTTTTAAAATATGAATTTAAAAGAGAGATTTGTGTAGGGTGTTCTTGTATATTCTGAGCACTGTACATATATCAAAAAAAAGGTAATGATTCGCGCTCAATTGCTTCGTACTGTTTTTATTTTTTATTTTTCTTACAATTTATGGGTGATTAAAAGACGGATGTTTCAGCACAAAGCCTTCCTCAGTGTGACGTCTGTCTTTTAATCACCCGTAAAATGTAAGAAAAATAAAAAATAAAAACTGTACGAAGCAATTGACTGTGAATCATTACCTTTTTTTTTTAATAATAGCATTGATAAGATTGACGCACCAAACCAAAAAAGTAACTAAAAAAAATGCAAGCGCACAGGGCAAACTTCAGTAACTCTACACACTGTATATATATCACCATGCTTTTTCCCAAACGTTTGATTACATTAAAATTGTCGACATTGTATTTGTACTACTGAAACGTTAAAGAAAAAAGATCAAAAAAGAAGATGAAGAACATCAGAATCCAAAGTAACTGTCAAAGTAAATTGCTACTGGCTTTTAACATTACCATTTCTGTTTAATAGAAGAAAGAAACAATGGTTTGTAAACATTGGAGGCTCATTAATTCATCGTCAAGTTCTCATTTTTGTTGAACTATACTTTTAAATATGCACTAATTTAAAAGGTTTTAGGAATAAAATGGTATGTACATTTAAAAGAATGAAATATAAACAAACCAATCTGTGTTTATTTAAATCTACAAGTGGAATTTAAAGGGCCATAAAACCCCCCTCTTTTGTTTCAAGTGTACCTCAGAATTTTTAAAAAAAATGTTCCGAGATGGGTGTGGAGCGCTAGGACCAGAGGGAGGAGTGGGCGTGGCTGGCAGAGCAGGACAGAAGGATGGGAGCGAACAACTGTTGTCTGTTGGCTCACAAAATGAGACACAAACCATGAGGAGACCCATGATTTTATAGTTTACGAAGTTAAAATGCTAAGAAATAAACAGTAGTTTAATGCCCTGCTACATTTGTTATTCGTAATTTCATATACACATAACATGCTGTCATGAATAATTAAGAAGCAGGCTCTTCTCATAGGATATCTCAGCTATAAAAAATAATGAGAAATTGACACGTCATCACTAGCAGATTCATGCAACGTCACTGATTTTCATTGGACCAGTTAAATGCACATGCTTAGAGACCTCAATAGGCCCCAATATGTTTTCATAAATGCTTACACAGGAAATCAGAAGCGAGAGACACGTTATTTTTATTGTTCCCGCTGCATATTTCTTGTCCAAGATAGCTCTTTCTGCAAAATGCCTCAAGTATGCAAACTACATTTCCTCAAGGGCCAGTTTTGGTTAACATATACGTAATTTGACAGAGCATACAAAATGTAGTCAGGGTTCCCGCGGGTCCTTAAAAAGTCTTAAAATGTCTTAAATTAAAATCCAGGTAATTAAGGTCTTAAATTTTACCGTAAAGTGGCTGTAGTTATTAAATTTTCAGCTGGTGTGCTTAATGACGATAGGGAAGCACAGTGGTCCACCGTAAAACATCTAATAGTTGCTTAATTTAGCACTTGTAAAACAGGAGAGAAAAGACAGTCTCCGTGAATTATTAGCTTATTACGATAGGTCAGCTACAGAGTACAGACGCTTACGTCGGTCTGCACCTGTACCTCGGGCCTAACTTATATATCATGATTACAGCTCTAGCTCAGACGCTCCCTCAGTCAGCTATAACAGTTTCATTTCACCACCAGACAGCCAAAAAGCAGGTACTGTGGGTTATCCATACTGTGACGAGGCACAATTTATTTAAATCAAACGAGAACATTTAAATGAGTAGCCTATTCCAAAGAAATTATAAAAATTTTGGGTCTTAAATTATATTTGTTGAGGTCTTAAAAAGCATTAAATTTAACTTTTAAAATGGTGCAAGAACCCTGGTAGTAAAGAATATAAAAATATATATGGTAAAGTATGACTGTAAGGTAAATGATTTAACATCTCTTCAGGCAAAGCATACACAACATACTAATAGAGAATCAAGGATAACTCTAATGAGAAAAAAATATATATATTTTCTACGGTTGCTACTGATGCTCAACACACACACATTTGTTAAAATCTCAAAAAACGTACTTCAGGGTGTCCTGAACCTTTAAGGAAGGGCAATAAAATAAATGCTTAAGTCCATGTATGTTGTATGCTTTCTTTTTACTTTGGGAACTCAAACTCAGCCAGTTCATGAATAAACACTATTGTTGTAAATCTGCACTCCTAAGTTTGTATTTTCCTCAGTGATCTCCTTAGGTTGTCAGCAGCACAGCTTCTGTTAAACATTCCAAAATCCTGCTTAAAAAAATGGGAGAGCAATATTTCTCAGTCTATGCTCCTACATTAACTAATTTTAAAGCAACAGCCAAAACTTGCATATTCTCTTTGTCTTACTTTTAATTTTTAGGTCTTGTTTTTTGGATAGATCTTCTTGTATATATTTGTTATTTTAGCTCATGGGATAAAAACACTTTTCCCAATTATTTCTGTATTTGACCTCTCTGTGAAGCACTTTGGTCAATGTTCATGTTTTTTTTTATAAGTTGCTATACAAATAAAGTTGGACTTTTTGATTATATCTTGCCTGTCCAGTTCAACAACTTTAGCCTTGGTAATTTCGAGGCTGATGTCATACAGTAGTTTAAACCATTTTGTGTTTCATAGGCCTAAGAGCTTGTCTGGATCAATCTCACTGATGATATATCACACAGAAAATGCATGTTTACACAAAGAGGATGGACACTGTGTATGTCGTGGATAAATAATCCCTCTCTTATCTCAGGGAGAGCGAGGACCACCGGGGTTGAATGGAACTCGGGGGCATAATGGCTGTCCTGGAAATCGAGGAATCAAGGTAATGCAATGAGCAAGTATGAATAGAGGTGCATCTCTTGATGTTATTTGTATCATCGCAGTGTTCTACGTGGAATTTAGAATTCCACTTGGTACAGTATGGCAGCATCTGAGAGCATAGACTCAGGACTGTTGGTTTTTGGCAATGTGTGTTTTAATTTCAGTTGTTCAACGTTGATCTTCAATAAATAATCATAGATAGTAGATAGTGTGTGTTTCCTTTAATTATTTTAAAATCAAGTAATGCACCTTTCATTTAAAAATCTCTCACTTGTAATATGTGAGCATATTTACTGTACAAAAGTTGTCAGTGAATTATGAAGGGGAAAAATAAATGACACTTGTTCATTATTTGTAATTAATGTTCAATTAATCTAGGTTTTGATTTTAGGGCAAATCACCCAGCCATAGTTCATAGTAGTGTTGTCTCGATGCTGGAATTCAGTACCGTTCGGTACAAAAATTTTAAAGACGTCCATTTCCCGCTAACATTTAAGCGCTGTGGAGCACATTCTTAAACACAGCTGATTTGCATTGTGTTCACATGCTCAACAGAAATGATTTGGTTGTGAAGATTATCAGTTCACCGAACTTGCAGCTGTTTACTAAATATAACCAAAGATACATGAACACTGGAGCGTTTATAGCCACCAAGATCAGCTGTTCTGTTTATAAGCTGACATAAGAGCAATAAACCCTTTTTACATTTCCAGGTTTTTCAGTCGCGGAAGTCGTCATAGTTGGGAAAATTTAGAGCGCAGTGAATGGGAGAATATTTTGACGATCTTATTTGCTCAAATAACAAAATAACAAGTCCACGATGATGTTATAAAGACTTTCAGAAAAAGGAAAAAATTTGTGTGACACCGATGATGGCAGCAAGAAGAGAGAATAACATCAAATATACTGTCCTGTCCACTTAGATAATGCATTAAAAACCCCTTGCACAAGCGGTAATTTTCTTTTTTGTAATTTGAAGCAAAGATGATATAATACACACACAAATAAAAATACATTTTCATCAAATAAAAATATTAAACGCGCCATAACAGTCTTGTAAAAAAAAGGGTCCATCCACAAATGAATCGACTGATCTTTTTGGCTTTAAAACACTCCAGTGTTCTTGTATCTGTGTTTACACAGTAAACAGCAGTGAGGTTGATGAAATGATGATCTTCACATTCAATCTCAGTCATTTCTGTTGAGCACATGAACACTATGGCAAATCAGGGGTGTTTAAGAACGTGCTCAACGGCGCTAAAATGTTAGCGGAAATGGACGTTTTTTTTTTTATTTCAGTACCGATTGGTACCGTATTCCAGTATCGTGACAACACTAGTTTATAGACGAGCTAATGTATTCAATATGTCTTATTATTGTAGTAAAAAGCAGAGTATGACAGTTTCACTACTTAAAATTGCTATTTTTTTTGGAATTCGAAGATTCTTCGAAACATTTGGGATAATATAATTACGTCAGCAAAATAAATAACTGTTCTAGTGGTTTTTGGATATGTTTAAGAAAACATCTTAAATAATGTGCTAAATGCTCTGCTTTGTTCAGTGTGTCATGTAATTTCAACTGAAACAGGAAGAAAGGGTGGGGCATTCTAGTAGCTCATCATCTTACAAAAAAAACAGCCAATAGCATTTTGTTTGCATCACAGTTTTGCTCAGTGTAACAATTATTCTGCTTTAAAGGGGACCTATAATCCAAAAATAAGGGGTTTAAACACCATTAAAACACCATTTAAACACCAAATATAACCAACCTTAAATGGTAAAAAATTATTAATTGTATTTGTTATAATCACACTTGATTAACAGCCTGCAGAAACACTTTAATTGAAATTCTCCCTTTGTACGCGTCATCAGAGGGGGAAGGCCCCTACCACTGGTTACTCTCTCATTAGCATAACAGCTCTGAGTGAGAAGCAGCCATCCGCCATTTAAGCTTTCGGCATTATAAATGTTGAGTTAAAGGATGGACAAATGAACACTGTAGACTCAATAGACTTCCTTTTTTGATAATTTTTTTACAAAGATAACATCTGCCACTATGCTGACACATGAAATTGAAAAGAGCACAAACACATTTGAATTCAAAGCGACAGTCACCAAAATAGCACAATTTGGATCAAAGCCTTAAGGGGGGCAGTTTTAAAGAGTTATAAAACATTATGTGTGGGGTATTTTGAGCTAAAACTTCACATACAAACTAGGTACATCAGAGACTAATTTTACATCTTGTTGCATGCAAAATTAGCATAATAGGTCTCCTTTAAAGTGCAGCTTTCAGTGTAGAATTCAAATGTGTTTGATATGTTTTGTTGTCTGCAGTGACTCTATGATCAGTTCTATGCGTTTAATTGGTCAGAAAATCAATCATTTTGAGGTTATTTTGAATGCTTAAATCTCTCAAATGTGAACTATGTTTTGGAACACACTAGCTTATACTGATACTAACACCTAAAATACAATGAGAACCTTAGAACATTGTCACCATGTTTTTTGTTTTTTTCATTTTGTGCAAACATTCATGATGAAAGCGTTTACCTAAACCTTTTACAGCCATGTTTATTAAAATAAATGTTTTAAAATTCTATTTCATAGGGCAATCGAGGCTACACTGGAAACAAAGTGAGTAACAATAGTTAATAATCTATCTACTCGCTGTTAGTTGTATTATTCTATATAAACATATAGAGCTGAATGTATTTCAGCCTTTCTGTGAGTTTTTTGTTATTTTTCATATATTTCCCAGATGATGTTTAACAGAGCAGGGACATTTCCACAGCATTCCCTTTTCTATTTTTCCTCTCAGTCTTCTTTATTTTAGATTGGCTGTATTAAAATAAGTTTTTAATAAAGAAAATGCTCATCAAATGTAATGCATTTAGTTAAAACATGCTGGATAAGTTGGCGGTTCATTCCACTGTGGTAACCCCTGATTAATAAAGGGACTAAGCCGAATAGAAAATAAATTAAAGAAAGTATATTTTTTCCTGGCCACAGAACAAACTACCATTGTCTAATAACCCAAACTTGCCTAGTTAACCTTGTTAAAGTCTTTAAATTGCACTTTATACTGAATACTAGTGTCTTGCAAAGTAAGTAGTAAAATATGGTAACACTTTAATAGCTAAACACTATGGCCCATTAATTAAGCATTAGCAAATAGTGAATCCATTATTGTTAAGCAATAACATTTATAGATGTTAGTAAGCAGTTTATAAATACAGCTACAAATGCTCTGTTTTTTACTTACAAGCACATACAGCATGTAGTGTGCCTAATAATTGTATTTTCACACTTTGTTAATGATTCTTTTTTTGTTACTTAATTAAATATTACATTATTTACAAACCAGATATTTAAGCATATTTGGTGTTTTTTTAAAAGATCATTCAGAATGTGCAAGTAAATGATCAATAAATATTCAAATTTATATTTAATAACTAAATTTAAATAATGAAAAATGTAATAATTTAAATCAAACTATTCTTATTATTCAGGCATATAATAATAGTTAATTTTAATATTAATAAATGCTTTATTAACTCAACTTCATCCTGTTTTGTGACCTAATCTGAAATGAGGTCTATTTATGCATTATAAATCCCTTGTTAACGACAATTAAAGGCTCAGTTATATTCTAAACAGGAAATTCAATTCATTTCTATTCAT